TATGTGGCTGGGTAGACGTAGCAGCCGCTTTAGTTTTTATTTTTCATTATAAACTTTGCTGATGTTGGAAAATCTTTCTGTTCTTTGGATGATGTTCTTTTCACTGTCACTCTTTTTACTCATTTCAAAGCTAAGCTTCAGTCTAAAGGACGACCAGAGAGCAACTTTTCCTACTGGCCCTCAAAAGCCACATTTTGTTACTTGTTTAGGTTAGCTTTTTGAATAAATGTGTCAAACTGCTGTAAATTGTCGGATTTTCCTAACAATACCTAAAGGCACCATCAGTGTCCTGGACTTTAAACCTGTTGATTTTACAACCATATGTGATATAACTACATGACATAAATAACACTCCGTAAATAAGCTCTGTTACTTACTTTTAAGTCCGGTATATTTACCTGAGCTGAGTGAACTGACAGAATCCGCTGAAGAGGATGTTTTTGCACAGGTGCAGACTCCTGCATATCCCCAGACAGTCTTTCACTCTGCAAAGTCTCAGGCGGGTCCTGGCCACCACCTTCGGCTGTCCGTTTGGACAACACGAAAGAAATTTCTCTCTGTTACAAATTATCTCCGACAACTTCGTGGGATCTCCGGAAAACAGATTATACACTAAATCCTCCGTGTTGACTGCTCCTTGGCCAGCGCAGATCATTCTCAGTATTTCTGTCTCCATCGTGTCCGAGCTCTGCCTGCGTTTCCTTCCACCTGTGACATTAAACTGACGAAAGCTTAATTTCTGACGACTGGAAAGCGAAACTCAACAACCTTTAACCTGGACTGATGCTGTAATGCTGCTGTTTTCCACTCTGAGTTGTCGCCGCCCTGTATGACCTCCACACATCCCACGCCTCGACTTTCTTCTACTTCACAGCTGAAACATTTCCAGTAATGAAACATGCCATGAAGATACAGGATCTATATAATACAGAAAATTCGCAACAGAAACATTTAGAATTTATTGAAAAATTTTTTTATGCCAGACTTTCCATCAAACCTTTGAGGTGAACATTTGGATTTTTAGCTGCTAAATTCTAAATGCAGGCTGTTTGCAGCGAGGGTTATATGGGGGACCAGAAGAGTCAAATTAACTTTGTAATTCTTTTATTTATTTAGACATAAATAAAGTGTGAGTCAATATTGTAAAATAAATGATTATTACATTAATAAATATTCAAATCAATTTCTAAAAAATAATTCTCAATAAAAAACACATTTTAGAATTCCAAAGGAAAAGAAAATCTAAATCTTTTTAAAGTACAATTTCAAAAAGGGAAATGAGTAAACAGAATTAAAGGGAAATGGATAAAAAAAAGAAAAGAAAAAGATTTTGACCTTTTCTATCCTTAATGGTTTAAATCATATTAGCAAAAGTATTCGCTTTGGGATTAATTAAGGGATTAGCCCTTGGATTAGCTATCAGATTAAATGTCAGATTAGCTATTCCATTTAACATTTCCAAAAAGCAATGCAAGTTCGTCATGCCGTGCGATGTAAGGAGCTCTCCAACTGGTTACAGAGACACAGGCTGGCTGCCTTGATAACTAGCTGTCAGGGACGATGATGCATACAGAGAGAAGGTGCAGTGGCTGGCACTTTGGTGCAATGCCATGATCTCTTAATTTTGACAAAACAAAAGAGTTGATTGTTGACTTTAAGAAGACCGAGGCTGTCCATCTCCTGCTCAGCATTGCTGGTGTCACAGTAGAGAGAGTGAAGAGCACCAAATTCACATCACAGAGGACCTGTCCTGGACCAGCAACACCAAATCAGTGACAAAAAGGGCCCAGCAGTGACTGCACTTCCTGAGACGACTGAAGTAGGTGCACCTCCCTAAGCCCATCCTTATGTATACAACTATATGTGACTGAATTACAACAACTCTGCAAAGATTATTAAGCTTCAAACCTTCAACCCCACACCAGCTATTGCCCTCAGAGCCTTCGCTCCCTGCTTTTACTGTTCTGCACCTCCTCATCATTCTCTAACTCCTCCTGTTGTCCAAACAACAGCAACTGATAGGGTGGTAGGCCTTTCTCCTTGGACAAAGCGGTTATTATCAGTCTATTCAATAAGCTTCTACCACACAGAATACAACAACAGCCGCAGCACTCTATAGTAGCTAGGAAACATGCCATTTATACTAGCAAGGACACGCAATGGTCAATTTTTGAGTCAGATCACTCTGTTTGTTTGGCGCCTTCACTGGTTTCTAGCAGATTAGGCTTAACCCTGAGCCAGAGTTTACAAAGGTGATTGTGCAGGTACACAATGTGTCATGTGGTGCTAATTAGCTCCAGCTTTACCTTTTATCTGGACAGCACTAGACTGGATGTGCATTTAATCACCTCATAGGGTCCAGTCCACCAGGGTTCAAGCCACTTTCTATTGTGAACTTTCACCCACAACTAGTCACCAGCCTTTATTGCTGGAGTCTCAGTTGTAGTTTTCTCAGACTCAGCCAGCTGCTTAAACAAAACTTAAAAACTCACTTAGTCTACGCTGTCATATATTCATCACAGTTCACCTGCCAAACATCCAGAGAGGTCCCTCTCAGGGTTGAACCAGGCATTGGCCTGCCTCTCGGCGACTCATGTGGCATCAGGTGTGTATGCGCACCCGGAGAGGTTCTCATTGACATAAGAAAAATGGGGAGAGTGTCCACCCATCTCAGTCTACTGTCATAATTTTTCTTTTCAAAGTCTGATTTGCCCTTTCACCACCCCTTGTGAGGCAGGGTGGTAAACAAATCGGTGTGTTATACCTAGAGCCTTTTCTACCTCTGCCAGTTCTTTATTGGACAAATGTGAATCATTGTCAGAGCATATGCTCCTCGGGACACCATACCTGGGTATTGACTCATTTTTCAGCCATTTCACTACAGTCTGCGCTCATTCATTTTTGCATGGGATTGCTTCCACCTAGCTTGTGAAGCAGTCCACTGCCACCAGCAAGTACCTGAAACCTCTCACTCTGTTTTCAACTCCCAAATCAGGGACTTGAGAAGCCAAGCTCTTGAAAAATCTTGAAATATGTGCATCCGCTGCAAAGCTGCAGCTGCGTGTGTAAGTTGACAGCCACAATAAAGAAGTGTACTGAAAAGTGCAAACATGTGGTCGGGTCTGTCGTGCATCAGTGGTGCTGAAACCCAGGATTGGGGCTACCAGAGTCTTTGTGCATCGGTATGATCTGTCCTCTTTTTTCCATGGGTAAATCCTCTTTGGGTTTGTTTTACTCCTCTGAGGAAAACGCAACATACCACATGTCTACTTCCACTGCCTTCCAAGCGTTTCGTGCGTTTGGTCCCAGGTCAAACTCAGCGCGTTCTTGACCATTGAGCCCAGTGTTCTAGCCTCATAGTTGCTTCCAACTACAAGTGTGACATGAGAGTGTAAAGTACTCTCATCTAAGCCTGAGTTATACCCGGAGCTCTGTAGCTCTGTAGTTGGGTCCTTCTCGTCCTCCTTTAGTCAATACTGTTCCAGATCCCAGGCCTGCAAAGGCATCTGATTGGGGAACCTTTGCCTTTGAGCTCATCCATACTATATCTGGTTGGGCCCTCCTCCTCCTCCTCCTCCTGTGAATAGTTTTGGGAAAGAGGGATAAGGCTCCTGAGGCCCTGGTTGTGCCCGATTTGGGCATTGCATCGACCACTGTCTCATCTGTCCACAGGCATAGGAGGCTCCATGTTCATGACTGTATTTTTTGTTCTTTCTTTTTAGGTCTCTCGTGTCCTTCCAAACATGTTTCTGAGACCATCTTATTTTATTTTTGCACAAAGAACTTCAGTCAAGGCCTTCTACATGTTCTGTATGGCCTTCACTATCTCCTGTTTGAGATGGGGATTTGAGGGTTAGCCTCCGGTAATCATCTGCTGTGTAGCACCCTTATCTGTCTTCTGCTGCCGTTTTGTTTGGCCCAGGTAACACTAATAATCACTCTTTGCCACTTGGTGCTGCAGTAGTCTTTTCAATAGAGCTTTAACTTCTTTCCTCTCCTGTTTTCCTCTTTACCACATACCGACGATGGTAGTGCTCCAATTTCTCCACCTGCATTCTGTAGGGCAACCTACCTAGGCTCTTCACAAACTGCATCCGCCAGAGTGCCTGGATTGCAGTACCGGACTCACACATTGTCCACCTGTATGTTTCTCCCACATGGTGGTGGCCCTTTTTAAGTACTCCAGCATCCTTTCGTTGTCTTTCATTTTTATGTTGCCCGTGGTTTCCGTATTACGATCAGTTGGGTATTCCTTCCTTAGAACCTCCCACAGGTGCTTTTGGTGCAGGTTAAATGGCGTAGAGTTGTTGGTGTTTCCTTCCAGTTGCCAGGATCGTTTTCTAATTTCCATTTTTCTTGGATTTCATTTTGGACTTCCTCCCTTATGGAGTCCTCTTCTTCTGAGGCCTCCTGTAGGGCCAGCCCTCCGACGAACCCTCTTTCATCATATGCAGCCTTTGGATGGTGTAGGGGGGCAAGCTGCCACTGGTTTGTGACACCACTTTTCACTTGGAACAGTGCGGCTTGTACTACTGCCCCATATAGGGGTGGCGTTGTATACGTTTTCTCTTTTTTTAAAAAAGAAAGAAAATTTGTAACAAACAAAAAATAAAAATATTTCAAATAAAAATTTCCCTTTGGTACCAATGTTTGTTCTCACTAACAACCTTGTGGCACAACTACAGTAGTCCCCTTAAAATCTTACCTGGATGCACCCTTTTAAATCAGGTTTCCAGTTCAAAATAAAACAATTTCAATGACAAAGGTCCAAATGGCAACGTTCAAAGCCTCAGTGTGTAGCTGTCCATACCTCAACGTTACAAAAGCACAACCACTGTCCACACCCCAACCACACCTCACCTCACAGTAAATGATCAT